TTTGCCTTGTGTCACAGGACTCCATTTGTCAAGGGGCTGTGTCTGCCTGGACGTGGCCGTTCCCTGAGGCCACCGAGGACATCTATGTGTACAGTTACCGGTCAGAGGACATGCTGCTTGCTGTCTTGACGTCCCCACGCTTTACCAAAGGCACACCATATCCTGGGCACAGGCCCTGTCCTCTATCCACCGTGCTTGGAGCACGGAGCACGGGGCCCCGTCCTCTGTCCACCACACACAGAACACGGAGCACGGAGCGCCATCCTATACCGCACACAGAACACGGAGCACGGGGCCCTGTCCCCCGTCCTCTATCGACCACACACAGAACACGGAACACGGAGCGCCATCCTGTATCCACCGCACACAGAACACGGAGCACGGGACCCCGTCCTCTATTTCCTGTTGAAGCAAACAGATTTCACTCTGAGATCTCCAGCTGAGACCCGGGTCAAACCCTCACCCTCCTGTTTATTTCCTGGACCCGCTGACCCTTGGAGGGGCTGAGTTTTTCTCCTGCATCTGAGGAGCCAGATACCTGAGTCCACGTCGTGACGTCTGAACCCTGCCTGTAAGTCCAACCAACGCACCCAGAGGCTGCTTAACGTGCTCTCATTGTCCTCGTTTCGTTTCTGAGTCTGCACAGACCACCATGCTTCCTGACAACTGAACCGAGTTTCACCCTCAACGCACCTCCAGAGACACGCCTACACCTGGATGCGCCTGTACCCAGATGGGCCAGCACCCAGCCATGCCAGCACCCAGACACGGCTTCCACAGACACACAAGGCCCTTAGGAACCCGTCTAGACAAGGTGTGCTCAGTGGCTGCACGTCCACAAGGCCCTGACCCACCCAGGAGCCATACCTGAGGTAGGTGGGGGGCTCTGTGCTGATGGACACAGCCTTGTATTTCTCGTCGTTGCCGTCCAGGATCTCCTCCACCTCTGAGGCCTTGAGCAGGGTCACGCTGGTGGCCAGCGTCGTGTAGCCGTGATCTGTAACCGAGAGACGCTGCTTCAGCCAGCCGGCGGGGGGAAGGAGGGCAGCAGGCAGCAGTGGGCACAGCGCAGCGAAGGGTCCTGCATGCAGCGAGGGCGTGCGGGGGAGCAGGGTGTCGAACCCACTGCTGTAGGTGCCAGCCTCTCACAGGAGGGCCGTGGGGCCTGAGTGCTTTAACGCGAGGCCCAGCGGTGACGACCCGTCGCTTGGTTTGGACCGCTGCATTCCAGCCGCTCCGGCTCCGGGCCGGAGGCTGGGCTGGGCAGCTGATGGGCAACGTCACAGAGCAGCAGGGAGCCCGGACCCCGAGCCCTGCTGGGCTGCTGGCCCCACATGAGAGCACCACCGTGCAGAGGTTTGACCCGAGCGCGCCCCACACGCCAAGCCGAGCGGAGAGATGGGATGAGAGATGGAAGAGGCGTCCTTTTAACACAAGAGCCCAGAGTCTGCAGAGCTGGTCCACCCCACCTGAGGGTTCTGGGGGGCCAATCAAGGCAAGCTGCTGCAAGCGACATGGGTTATAGGGCCTCGGCCAGGGGCCACCACTGCAGAGGCACCAGCCAGCCTGCCTCTCCGGAGAAATGGCCGCGTGGCAGGGAGCCGTCACCCGGACCGCACTCTGGGGGAGCAGGGAAGCAAAGCGGGCTGCACTGCAGAGTGGGCAGCGCCTCACGGGGGAAGGAAGGGGCCGCTGCTCGCAGCGGGAAGCCGAGAGCAGCCGCGCAAAGGCAGATCCGGCTCCTGCATTAAAAGCAGCACTGCTGTGCCTACGCGGACCAGACCGCGAGGCGCCCGAGGACGGGCCCAGGCGAGCCGACCATGGCGAGCCTGCAGAGACGTGCAAAGCCACACATGCACACGTGTGCCAGCACACACCTGCATGCACGCAAGCACACACACACACACACACTGATGCACACACCAGCACCCATGCACGTACACATGCACAAATGTGTGCACACGCACAGGTACACATGCACACAAGCATGCAAGCACACGCACACACGCCGGCACCCATCCAAGTACACTCGCACAAATGTGTGCGCACACACGCGCCAGCACCCATGCAAGTACGCATGCACATACGTGCAGGCACACACGCACATACAATGACACAGGCACACGCATGCAGCTGCAGGGTGCTCTGCCCCCGAGAGGCCAGGCAGCGCTCTACAAGGCGCCTCTGCCGAGCATGAGCAGCGTAAGCGCCCGCCAGACAGCACGTTGCATCTGCGCCCTCAGGGGCAGCCCAGGGTCGCCCTGTAGAGGGCTGCCGCGGCCCGAGGCACACTGCCTCACGCGTGTGGAGGAGCTCAGCACCCCGCAGCCCCCGCCCCACCCCGGCGAGCCCGGACATGCACACGGGCCGAGCGCAGTCACCCACGATGGGCACTACAGGATGGAATGCGCTGGGAAGCAAGCGGTGAGGCCCCAGGGCCTGGGCGGCGGGGTCACCACCCGCTGCTCAGGCGGCATGGAGGATGACGATGTCGACACGCCACGCGGATGGCAGAGCGTCACGGCGTTCCCAAAACGTTTTGAGCCCGGCCTGTCTTCACGACACCTGCTCCCAGACCCCGTCCCGCTCCCGCCAACCCCGCAGGACCCGCCCCCAGCCCCGGTGGGCCCACTTGGTGGGCTCTCGCCCGCGCAGTGGCGGGCGGTGGCGCTGCCCAGGGAGCCTGGCCGTGCCATGCTAAGCGAGGCTGCCGTGAAGACACACGGGGCTGAAAGCGTTTTCTCTCGACGACAGAAGCGAGTGGTTTTGAAACAGGTCTACAAACCCTCGTGGAGACGCACCCTTGGCGTTAGGTTTTGTTTTTTTACCATGTGACGATGCCACTATTCTCTTCCGCTCTTCCACTGTGGCTAGCCGCCTCCACAGCGAGGGGTACCTCTTGTACAGAGAACCTCGGAACATACGGAGGTAGTTTCCCACCTGTGAGCAAAGCAACAAGGGTCAGTACTGGCTGGCGTCGGTGCAGCGAGGAGGCCGGGTGCAGGGCTCCCTGTCCACCGGGCACAGGGACGGCAGGGCGGCCGCGGCGCCAGCCTTGCAGCATTGACGAGACCCATCCGCCGACACCAGGGGCTTGGCTGCCGTGCACATCTGGCCCACATCTGCCCACGAGGCAGAGCGACAGCTGCCTTCTGACCACAGGGCCGAGCTCCAAAAGCCTGACCCGGTGCTGGCGGAGCCGCGGTTTCCCCGGGAGGCTGCTCCCAGGCTCACCAAGATGCTCGTCTGGCAGGCTCCCGACGGGGGTTCGCAGCGCCTGGCGCCCTCCAAAAATACAAGGCCCCCGACCTGCTTTTATCTCCAAAACAGACTTTGATGTTTTTACTGCTAATGAACACCAGAAAGACCTCTTAACTTTAGACACATGTAGATGACGCCCCCCTCATCACCCCCACGGCTGACGTCACTTTGTTCAGTAACAAAACGCCAGCGAGGGCCAACTGAGGGACTTCCCCAGAGCCGAGAGGCGCGCTCGTCACCGCAGGCCCCACAAGAAGGTGGATCGCTGCTCCCGGGCGGCGGCCTCGGTCGGTGTGTCCCTGTAACTGACGGCCAACCTCCCCTGAGGCTTTGGGAAGGGGTCGCGCTGACTCGCTGCTGTCTCCCGTTATCACGCACAGCCCCCCACCACCCTCGGCCAGCGGCCTGGGCACCAAGCGCTGCCTCCCTAACGAGACCCCACTCACCTTCCTTTTCTGGGTCTCCCGACCCCTCAGCGCCCCAAGTCCTGCCTGACAAGGCCACTGCTTTGACCTGCCACCTCACCACCCAACAGTCAGTTTATGAAGGCAAAGCCCGTCTCTCCACATTTCCTGAGCCAAAGATGTGTACAAGCGTCAGGCGGATGGGCACGCGCCCCTCCTGCTCCAGACAGCACAGGTGTTGGCCACCAAGAGCCCTGGCCTCTGTGCCAGGGCCACTCAAGGGGACAGGCCGAGCTCCCGTAAGGTTTCAGAACTGCCCACAGTAGTACCCCTCACTGCCCTCTGGGACCCCCGGGGCTCTGGGACCCCTTGGCCTCCCTCCCCAGACCCATTCAGCACTTAAGGGAGGTTTCCCGGCACCAGTCCTGGCCCTCTCTGGACCCAGGTGGATCTGTCCAACGCAGGTGCTGAGCTCAGTGGCTTTTCAGGGTCTGCTCAGCTCTGTGACTGTGGCCTGGTGACCACTGCTGCCTGCAGATGGCAACAGGACATGGACACCAGCTCACGGCACCTGCAGATGCCACGCAACGAAGAGCCGCAGGGCGTGGCACAGAGGTGCTGGGCACGCAACCACGGCTGGCCTGTCTCTCTGAACACAAAGGGGCCCGATGGTCACCCATCCAAGAGTCACAAGAGATCTATCCACAGATAGCATTCTGGTCTTGACTCCTTCCCGGAAAGGGCTTGTAAGCCTGCCTAAGGGAACAGGAGTCAGCCTCTCCCACCCAGGGCTCCACAGACTGCCTCAGGCACAAAGAGACCCTCCCCAAATCACCCCCACTCGACTTGCTGGCCCAGGAGCAAAGGCGCTGACAGAGAACACTGCTGTCAACTTTCCAGAAACCTAGAAGGAGCTCTGGTGCCTCAGTGGGTGAGGCATATGGCCGCTGACCAGAAGATCAGTGGTTCAAACCCACCAGCTGCTCCACAGAAGAGAGAGGAGGCAGTCAGCTTCCGTGAAGACTGACAGCCTTGGAGACCCTGCGGGCAGTTCCACTCTGTCCTCTAGGGGCGCTGTGGGTCGGAATGGACTCCAGGCAGTAGGTGTGGTTTGGGCTTTGCTTCTGTGAAGACTGACAG